GTTTGAGTAAGCTCCTGAAGTTGGTGATGGACAGGGAAGCCTGGTGTGCTGCAGTCCATGAGGTCACAAAGAGTTGGACACAACTGAGAGACTGAACTGAACTGAGTCTTTCCACACTTTGGGAGCAGGGCTCAGAAAGCACAGCCTGCGCTAAAGGAACTAGCAATTCAGGCTCTGGGAGTGAGAAATGTGAAGGGCGATTGTGTCCCCAGCTCCTTTCCGCGGCTCCCCACCCCACTCCTCCTCCTCTGATTACCCCTGTGGCTCCTGTGGCCTCTGTGACCCAAGCCCTGCCTCCTGTCCGGAGTCTCCTGGGGCCTCCTCACCCAGCTCCGTGTCCCCTTCATCTCCTCCTCTGCCTGTTGCACCCTCCCTGCACCTTTGCTCTCGCTGACATTTTGTCCGCTGCTTCCACTTCAAGCGTGACTCCCTTTGGGAGGCTATCACCTGGTGCAGAGTAAACTCTGCATCGGTGTCTGTTAAATGAATGAATAAATGATTGGTTGTTTAGGAGGGCCCCAGGCCTTCTTAAGGAAATAATAGACCTTTGGCATCTGTGCCAAATGGCAGGTAGACTTCACCTCCCTCCCGCCTGACATGCCCAGCTCGTGGCAGGAGTGGCCAGGAGAGAGAAAGCAGAGGCAGTGCTGGGGTGAGTGACTGGGGCTGGCTCTTCCCAGCTCACGGTCCTCAGCTCTATGTCTGGGTCACCAGGACAGTCTGCACCCTCTCTCAGGCTCAGCCCATGGTGCTGTGGCTGACTTTCAGAAGGCCAGAGCAGGACGTGGTGGGCCTTCTTTCTGGAAGACTCGGTGAGGCTGCCTGTGCTGCAGAATGGGCGGTGTCCTGGGCTCTGGGCTTCCAAGGACCCTGAGCGTGTGTGCTTGTTTTGGCATGCGTCCTGGGCCTTAGCTCTGTGCCAGGCCCTGCTTGGTGACCACACAGTGACCTTGCCCACTGGAGCCCTCCGCTGAGCCACCCTCTCTGAGCTTCCTCAGTGGAGGCGAAGCTCTGGCTTCCCGGAGCACTGAGCTGTGCGCAGAGCCCAGCCTGTGAAGCCCGTGCGAGTGGACAGGAGGACAGCCTGGCTGCCAGGGACTGACCTCCTCTGGAGGCCGAGGTGGGGCATGTCTGGTGGGGCAGCCGATGGGGAGGGAAGAGGTGGACACCGTCCAGTGGGGCTCAGCAGGGTGGGGCCTTGGCAGGAGTGGCCAGGAGCCTGCAGACAGGAAGGAGCCCTTATTAGGAGTTTGGAGCCTGGCAGGGAGGACAGGGGCTAGTGAGTTTATGTGGAGTTGGTGGGCAGAAGTCTCCTAAAGGTGGACGCAGTTACTCTGATGGGAAGAGACTCCTCAGTGGGAGCACTGGGGAACTCAGGCCAAGGTCATGCTTTGGCGAGAGTGCCTGGGGTCAGGGCGACTCGCCAGAGCAGCAGCTGAGGAGAGGCCAGCTGAGCCTTCTTCCCCCGCGTGTGTGTGCGTGTGCGTGCGTGTACACTTGTGCACACAAGGGCCCCTTGGTGAATGCCAGCTGGTGGAAAACACTGCTGGGCAGACAGCGTCTGAGCCGTGAGCTCCCACATACCGCTCATCTTGGTGCCCTTGTGGGATAATCCCACGGGGTAGGCCATGATGGAAGAGGGGGCTCCGAGGTTGATGTCCCATGGGCAGAAGCAGGACCTGTCTCATGGAAGGCTAGTGTCACAGGCTTCTAGAGGAGGGCCTTGGGCTCCAGACTGGAAGACATGCGTCAGATCCCGCTAAGGAGCCCTCATGTTGGGCTGTCTGGTCGTTCAGTCTATAGCCCAGCTTAGGTATCCTCTTGGGCCAGAACTGACCTGGGATCCATTTTCTCAGGGGCGTCCTGAGCCGCCTCTGAAGACCTTTCCAGTGGAGGTTGCTGGGGCACTCTGAGCTCTCTGCCTACACAGGGGACTCTGAAAGGCCAGCACTCCTGTCAACACCCAAAGCTGGTGTCTTTGTTCAAATGTCAGAGCCTGTATTGTAGTTGCCCCCAGTAAGACATCTGGGGAAACACCAGCTTTGGGCAGTATCGCAGGGACACAGTATCCCACTGCTTCAAGCTCCTTGGTGTGGCTTCCTTCTTACATGGGTGGGGCTTTGACCTGATGAATGAAGTTTAGGGCAGCAGCAGGCTGGTGAGGCAGGGGTGGAAGGGGGATTGGGGGTGGCCTTCTGTAAGGGCACCTGCCAGGGAGAGATCTGACACACGCTGGTTCCCCCTCGGGCTTCCCAATGGCAAAAGCAGAGGCCTCTCCTCTGGGCCTGGCTACCAGCAGTGTTTCTGGGTGGCCCTGAACGAGCAACTTGGTTCCAGAGGGCCTTGGGGAATGATGGCCCCGGAGGCCATTCCCCACTGGACTCTTTCACCCACCTTTTCTCTTGTTTTGAATGGTTCAGACCCAAAGCTCACAAAATATGTTTCAACCCATTTAATTTTTAATTGATAGTTTGTAGTATTTTCTTTAAAATGTAGGCATCACCACCAGGGACTGTGATAGTGTGAAGAGCTAACAAAACAGAACCCATAGAAGATTTAATCCTGTACTTTCTTTGTAATTTACATTTCTGAATAGGCAATACATTTAAAGTTCTGTAACAAAGCAAACAAAACAGTCATGCTGTGAAAAGTCTCCCTCCCCTTTGCCTCCATCCATTTAGTTTCTACCTCCCTAAATGGGTACTACTCTAAATATTTCTCACGTTGCCTCCGTGTGGCTCTGGAAGGCACCACGAAAAACACACACTCACACGTATATATATTTATCAGTTCAGTCCAGTCACTCAGCTCTGTCCTACTCTTTGTGACTCCATTGACTGCAGCACGTTAGGCTCCCCTGTCCATCACCTGTCAATCACCAACTCTCAGAACTTGCTCAAACTCATGTCCATCAAGTCGGTGATGCCATTCAACCATCTCATCCTCTGTCGTCCTCTTCTTCTGCCTTCNAACAAACTTTGGGTTGTTTCCTGTCTTTTGCTACTAGTACTTTGTACATGTATCACTTCCTGTAGGTGTAAGTTTAACTGTAAAATAAACTCCCAGAGGTGCAATTGCGCTATCCAAGAGAACTTGCATTTGTGATCCTGATTTTGTTGTTTAGTCACTGGGTTGTGTCTGACTCTTTGCGACCCGATGGACTGCAGCATGCCAGGCTTCCCTGTCCTTCACCGTTTCCTGGAGTTTGCTCAGATTCCTGTCTGTTGAGTTGGTGATGCTATCTAACCGTCTCACAGCCTTGTGGTGAAGGGGCTTGTGTAACTCAGTGAAGCTATGAGCCGTGCCGTGCCGGGCCCAGGATGGGTCAGGATGGGTCAGGATGGGTCATAGTGGAGTGTTCTGACAAAGTGTGGGCCACTGGAGGACGGAATGGCAGAGCACTCCAGTGTTCCTGTCATGAGAGCCCCATGAGATCTTGATAGATTTTATCAACTTGTCCACCAGGGGTGTGTGATGAGTAGACTCCCATCAGACCTGTATGAAAGCATGTGTTTCCCTACAGCCTTCCTAACCCTGTGTTTTATTGGCTGGTCACATGATGTGATGGCAAACGTCCCAGGTAAGGGCCTCAGCTCTGGGGCAGAACTGATCCAAGGGGACCTTCACTGCAGGAGAGGCGGTGGTGCCTGGTGGTTAAGCCTCTGAGTCAACCTGAGTTTCAATCCTCAGGCAAATCAGTCTACTTTTCTAGGTCTCAATTTTCTCATCTGCAAAATGGGGGAAATAATGCCATCTGCATTGGTTTCATTGTGAGGATTAACTGCAGTGATACATGCTTCGCGCAGGGCCTGGCGTGTGGCTGTGGGAAGCTGGCTCTGGCCTAACCAGTCGGGCGACCTTGGCAAAGGACCCCTCCCCACCTGCGCCCCTGTGTCCTCTCTCACCAGGGAAGGGGGTGGGCTTGTGTGTCTCCCAGACCCGCTTCCCAATCCAGGGCCTGGCCTGTCTTGCCCAGCAGCTTGTGGCGCCCGCACTCACCCCTCCTCTCTCATGCTCACCCAAGGTATTCAGGAGTCTCCTGTGCCGAACGGCCACTCACTGCCAGGCCGAGATTTCCTCCGGAAGCAGATGCGGGGAGACCTGTTCACGCAACAGCNGGCGCCCGCACTCACCCCTCCTCTCTCATGCTCACCCAAGGTATTCAGGAGTCTCCTGTGCCGAACGGCCACTCACTGCCAGGCCGAGATTTCCTCCGGAAGCAGATGCGGGGAGACCTGTTCACGCAACAGCAGCTGGAGGTGCTGGACCGCGTGTTTGAGAGGCAGCACTACCCGGACATCTTCACCACCGCAGAGCCCATCAAGCCTGAGCAGGTATGACCCCGACTCGCCGCCTCCGCCACCCGCCACCCGCAGGCAGGCCTGGCTGATGTACCCGAAGGCATCCGGCAGGGTGTGCGTGAGAGTGCCGGCTGTTACTCAGAGCCACACCTGGCCAGTGGCGGCCTCCAAGGTCTAGAGGACGCGCCTGGGGCTCTCGCGATTGCTGGCCCTGGTGCCTGGTCTCTCGGGCCCGGCGGGGGGCATTCCGTGTCTGGCTGTGCTTACCCGGGGCTCTGCACACAGGGTGGTGTAATGATGTCCTGAGCCGCTTGAGGTAGTCTTGGGTCATTATCCTGTCTGTCAGGATGCAGGTGGAGATGTGTGAGCACCGTATGGCCATAAACCAGGTGATGATGGCCCTGGCGTGTCCCCCACTGTCAGCCCTCTCGTCATGTTGCCCTGTCATGCTTTTAGAATTGAATCCAAGGGTCTGGAGATGAAGAAGTGTCTCACTGGACAGATTCACAGCTGGGTCATTTGCAAGAGAGGGAAAAAAGCAGGATGATCCCTTGCTAGCAGCCTTCTGCTCTATCCTGGGCTGAGAAGCAGTCCCTGCCTGTGACTACAGAGAAGGGAGGGACCAGAAAGGCTCTGCCCAGGGAGAGGCTCTCAGGACCTCGATAAGTTTCCCCCTAAGTACCAGATTTGATTCAGGAGACTGCTTCCTAGTGCCCCGCATGTGACAAGCCCTGGGATGGAGACCTCACAGGCACAGGCGGCTCGGACTTGATTCCTGCGTGCTGAGAGCTCCCATCTGGGTGAGATGCAGGGGCCTGAGAGCAGTGACTTCCCCAGCACTTGCTGGCTGGTCCTGGTGGTGAAGACTAACCTGCTGAGCTTCTGCAGGCTAATGAGAGGATGGCTTCTGAAGTTTTCCCAAAGAGTCACCCAAAACAGTGTAGGCTGCAGGACAGGCTGCCATGGAGAGAGGAGGTGCCGGAGGGGGCCTTGGACGGGGAGGAGTGAGCAAGGCCCCAGGGACCACCATCCTGTGACAGTCTGGCTGCCTTTGTGTGGTTGCTAGGAGGACACTCACAGACACTCACATCTAGCTATTTGTTTTCAGATGGGGAAACTGGGGCCTAGTGAGGCAAAGAGGCTTGGCCTAAGGTCACCCAACAAGTCGGCTTCCTTGGTGGTTCAGATGGTAAAGAACCTGCCTGCAAGTGCAGGAGACCTGAGTTCAATCCCAGGGTGGAGAAGTTTCCCTGGAGGAGAGAATGAATACCCACTCCAGTATTCTTGCCAGGAGAATTCCGTGGACAGAGGAGCCTGGCCATGGGGTTGCAAAGAGTCAAACATGACTGAACGACTTTCATTCACTGACTTACTCACCCAACAAGTTATGTATTCACTTAACAAACACTGATGAGTGTTTATTATATGCAAGGCACTGAGCCAGTCACTCGGTACGTGAGTGAACAAGACAGGCTTAGACCTGCCCTCAGGGAGACTACTGATGTGTGGAAGAATCACAATAAAGAAGGATTACTCAAAGGGTCATGGATAACAGATGTGCTAGGCACTGAGGAGATGTCTGAGGTTCTCTAAAAGCATAAAGCAGGTGCTGATCCAGCCTGGAGGCCACAGTGGCTTCTGCTGAGCCCTGAAGGCATGTGGTCAGGAGAATAGACTGGCAGAGGGAAGAGTACAAAGACCCTGAGGCCAGAGGGAGTGTGGCAGGAGTGAGGAAGGAAAGGAAGTGTGGCTGGGCTTCAGGGAAGGGACTGGGGGAGGGAAGGAGGAGATGCTGGGTAGCCGAGCCTGGTCTCCTAGATGGTGCCCAGCATTTCCGTCTTTCTCCTGCAGTGGAGTGACCCCTCCTCCAGGAATCACACAGTCATGGGTGCAGATCAGAGCTAGTCTCACACACTCTAGGTCCTGGGCTTTAGGGAGAAGTGTCTGTTTCCATCACAGGCAGCCTGTCCCACTGCTCGGAGCCCTTCAGAGAGATGCCCGAAGCCACATTCCATCTGACCCCCTAGGGAGAGAGCAGAGGGACTCAACTTGGAACCTTCCTTGGATGAGCCTACCTTTCCCTCCAGAATCTGGGAGAAAAGTTATCTTGTAACCTTTGACAATATTACATAATTTTAGAGCCAGTAGGGCTCTCAAAAGAAGCTATCATCTCCTCATTTCTTAGAGGCCCCCAGAAAGGATAGGGTTTGTCTGACCTCTGCACAAATCCTCTGGCATTTCTACTAAGCTCTTATTTACTTAATTCAGGTTTTAGGTGTCAGGGATCATGTTTCCCTCTGTGTTTCATGTGATCCTCATGCAAACACAGAGTCTAATCCTAGTTCATTCAGCTTGAAATGCCCAGAAGCCCAGGCAGACGATAGGGCTTCATGCTTTGGAAGAGTCCACCCACGTATCCATGCACTCACTTGCTCAGATGCTCATTTGCTCATTTATCCCGCATGTATCTTACATGGTAGCTGTGACCCTGGCACAGTGCTGGGCCCCCAGAGGCAGGAGGACGGGATGAATCAGGCCTCAGCTCAGCCCCCAGCCTCACAGGGGCAATGTGATGTGGATTCAGAACCTGTATGGCGAGGGAGAAAGTTCTGTGTACCCTGATGAACAGAGACGGTGCCTCCGCAGGGAGCACGGGGAGGAAGGATGTTATGGAGGAAGTGACATTAGGGGACAGGTCAGTAGGCCTGTGTAGAGATGGGCCTTGGAGAAGGAACCCTGTTCCTAGCAGTCTGGCCTTGCAGTGTCCTTCAGAACGGCACGGACACTCTGCAGGCCTGACTCTGATTGTGTGGGCTCCGAGGCAGGGCCCGCCTGCGGGGTAATGACTGGCTCAGTGCGTTCTGGTTAATCTGCTTCACCTTCCTGTAATGGGCCGTAATGAGGAGAGATAGTAGGTGAGACCACGGGGCTGTGGGTACGCACCCAGGCACTGGACTATGAATGACGCACCCTTGCTCCGCACTCCCAGTCACTTGGGATAAATGTTGGCCGAGCACGGGGCCACAGGCTAGGAAGGGACGCGCGTCAAGGGTACAAGTTTCTCACACCTGCTGGCAGCCTGGCCTCGGGAGCCCCAGTGGGTCAGGAGGGGGCCCAGAGCTCTGGCCACCAGGGCCGGCCCCTCTTCCAAGTGTGAACTGATCTGGTCTCCTGGGTCTAGTAGCAGCTTGCGGGGGAGGATGCACATTTACTGGCCTTAGAGCTGGGAGTGTCTGACTTGAGTCCAGCCTCTGTCCAGCTGGGCAAGTCACTTTTACTCCAGGCCTCAGAGTCTGTATCTGGGACAGTAGGGAGTGTGGTTTTGACATCAGCCCAGCAGAGCCCAGCAGTAGTGGCAGTGATCTTCCCTGTCTATGCAGTTTCCAAAGATCTTTCACATCCATCCTCCCATCAGACTCTGCACGCAAATGCCTGCTACACAGGCCAGGCAAGATTTGTGAGCCCATTTTATAGACTGGAACATTTTTTTTCAGACCGTTCACCCTGTTTTCAGGCTTCTGGGATTTGTCGAGGCTGCAGACCTGGACTCTGACCTCAAGATCTTTTGTCTACCTTGGACAAGACAGATATATGGGCCTCCGTGCCCCCAAACAGTTCTAGGAGGCAGTTTTCTGATTGGCTGGTTTTCAGAACTGGCCTTTTGCAGCCAGAGTCCGCTGGTCATTCTTAGAACCCTCAGAGTCTTGCCAGAGGCTTGGGTGGTCAAATCCTCCTTAATCCCCCTGCCTTCAACTACCATGGAAAGAGCATACTTCCTCAGGGCCGGGCTGGGGTCCTTCACCTGGCTGCTCTTCCTGCCAAGATCTGTCCTGGGTGGAAGCATCCAAGCATCCATGCTTCTTCCTTTTATACAGGAACTTAGTAAGACCTTGTCCTGGGTAGAATGGGTTAATGTATACACACACCTAGGACAATGAAACACTTCCTTTTCAAAATGGTTATTGAAAAAGCAATTCTGTTTTTCCTCCATGTGGAGTGAGTAAAAATCACCTTGGAGGAGAAGAGAAAAAAAAAAGAAATGCGGGCGAGTGGTATGTGTGTGTGTGTGTGTGTGTTTCAAACAGTGGAATGTGTTTCAGTAAAACTCACGTTGACGCTGTCATGGGTGCCACGCTGCTGGCTGGCGGGAGCTGGTCCCTCCTCCGGCCACGGCAGGAAGGCCACCCCCTGAGCACAGCCTGCCGTATTTACTCTCGGCAGACTATTAACCAACACTAGGCTATTAATCTGGCTTTTGAGCCTTCACTAAAGCCCATAAAAGCTCACAGTTGTCAAATGGAGTTCATTTTAATTTCCTTTCAATCACAGTAAATTATTCAGGTGATAAATCAGCTGGAGCAGCCTCCTGGCTGTAATAGAAACCCTAATTCCTGGCTAATTATCCAGCCCATTGCTGCCAACAGATCAATACGGGCGCAAAATGGAACGGGCCCAGGGCCCTCCCTCCCATCGGGCCAGAGACAGGAAGACAGCTGGGGAAGGGGGACGTGCTGCTGACCTCCCAGGAAGTTCAAAGGTCACAGGGGGTTAAACCGGGAGAAGTCCTGTCCCTTGCTAACAGGGAAGCCACCAGGAATGCCTCCTGCCCCCATCAGCTGCTTTGCCCCTGCTCAGCGGCCTTTCTCCAGGCTGGTGGGCCTGGGGCTGAGTGCTGCCAGCTTCTGTGGGCATCCTCTTCCTGGGAAGGGGTTGGTTTTATGTTTCTGAGCACGGTTGAGCTGGGTCATCAGAGAGGGTTTGAACTCTTGCTAAGTCAGGTAGAGAGCTGGGGACTGTGAGGAAAGGATGAGGTTGCACACATGTTTTCGTTCTTCAGAGAATTCTGGGGGGAGAGCAGGCAGGGAGGGAAGTGGGGAGCGGAGACAGGTGTGCCAGGCTAAGAATGGGGAAGGGCTTCCTGGAGGAGGTGTCCTTCATGCGGTGCCTTGAGGGGTGGGCAGAATGCAGCTCGGTGGAGAAGGTAGAGTTGGTTGCAGAGGGCGTTCTAGGCTGGAGCAGCACGGATGAAGGCG